TGCGGCCCCTTCCCTCTCCGCTGCCTGCTTTTAGACTCTGTCGCAGCTTTTGGCGACCTTCTCGCGGGCTCCGGCCTTTGTCCGCGGAGTTACGGGAAACTCCGTCACGCTCCGTGAAAATGACATTTCTGCGGCTCTCAAAATCGCAGTCCCTCCTTAACGATATGCTACGCAACCGTGATCGGCACATCTTCCTTACGGGGCGGCGGGGCGACGGTATTGATGAAAAGTGGGAGGGGAAGGGAGAACGCGCATCTTCTACCCAAAGTGATCAGCAGGTCTTTACCGCGGTTTGCCCGGGGGCAGCAGAGAGGTACCAGCGCCGCACACGGGTGCTACGAGGAGCTTGACAGCACGGACACCGCATCCTCAAACGGCTGTTTGAGGTGGCGGCAAACTTCCGTTACACAAAAAAGGCTGGTTCATCCATTTAATCACGTGAGTGGCTGCACAACTGTCTTCGAAGCTTGTTCCTCGGGCTCCCCATAATACATTCATAGATGGGTTGGCTCCTTCCTTGTACGCGCTCCCGGCACTCATCCAAGAGGTGAGAAATGAGATGGGTTTTCTTGCAACTGAATGGTACGCTGTCTTGTGTTGTATGTCAGCAACTGTAAAGGTTTGCTGGGAGTCTTGAATGGAAAGGAGCTGAATTAAAAATACCAAGAAATGTTTGTTTCAGGGCTTCTGAAGCCTTTTGTTTACTTCCTGCATAGCAGCACCTTACTCAACTGCAACCGTTTCTGCCCCCGGCAAGTTTCTGCAGCATGCAAACACACCCGGGTGTGTTTTGTGGCACATAAACCTGTGCATTATTGCAGTGTATTTTTCAAAGACCATTTTTGGGGTACCACTAGGCAAACATCCAAAACGCTCCCCTATGCAGATGAGGTGACCCGTGCTAACATTAGGACTCACCTTTCCTACAGGGAAGTAGTAGCTCTGCTGCTGGAACAAAGCGTTACTTCATTCCACGGACCTGAAAGTTTGGTTGTCAAAGTTAAAAAAACACAGTGGAAGCCTTTAGTTCTGATTTTTGGATGAGGAGCCTGAAGTTCTTGATTTCAGAGCATCTGACTCATTCAGAGTATAACAATCACATTATGTATAAACTGCATAATTTCAAACATATTTTATTACCTAATGGCTCATATTCCATATATCACTTGCACATCATGCAATCATGCAGTTACGCCAACTTCTTCCTAAACTTTTCTTGGGAGTCCTTGCCACGTTATTTTTCCTTAAGCACAAAGGTCTAAACAAGCCTCAGGTTGAAAATAAGAGCAGCCCAGATTAGGAAGCCAACTTTTGTTCATGTAAATACAAATGTTTTGAGAAAACATTGAGAAATTATCTTGAGAAAATAAATATTTTAAAGTAATGGTTACCTACATGGAAGAAACTGCCCAGGCTGACATCAGTTCTCCAGGTTAGCTTTCAGAATAATTCCAGGACACTTTTACATCTATGTGATAATACATTTCATACAATATGAAGATTCTAAAGCATTCAACTGGAAACAGACAACTGCCTTAACTCAGGTTGTTTACCCTTACTTGAAATTGTAAGGGTAAAAATGCTGAATTACAGGATGTAATTCAGTTTTGGTCACTGAAAAATCTCCTAGTTGCTTAGGAGTTAATCCACTGATGTAAACTAAACTGACTAGTGATGCCAGGCACTGGGGGGGGGGGAGAAACGACAGGTTGGCTAGAACTCCTGGGGCTGAGCAGCTGCACAACAGCTTGTGCCAACACCGGGGAGGGACCATTCAGGTCTCAGAATATTCTAAGCAGCGAGGAGCAACTTTCTTTGGCAGTGGTGCCATCCTAAGGTGCCCCCTCACCCCAGCGTAACATACAGCCCAGCACACAGAAAATCCAACCGCAACAGACCCAGCGAGATTCCGGGAGAGTCCCAAGGAGAAAATTTATCTAAAAGCTTGGGAGATAACAGGTGATAGAAGAGAGTCTTGCCTCATCAAGGAAAAGTTCCGCAACCTCCAGGTCTGAGTGCAGCCAGATGAGTATGCTCACTCAGCCTTGTGAGGCTTTACATCAAACTAGTTTTCTTTGTCTGATAGTTAGTAACTGAGAGGGAGCTGAAAGGACCACTTTCTTGGTGTAAAAGCAGAGCCTACCATAGAAACAGTACTGCTCCACTGCCAGACAGCAATCCTCTATTTCCGAGTGAGGAGAAAAAGAACAGGTGCATTTATTTTTCCACAAGGACTGGCAAAATTCCCCCTTTTAAAGAAAAGATGTCCATTTGCTAGAACTGCATTACGCATTCAGAAAACAGAAGCAGGCGGTATGTTTCACACCATGTCTTTGAAGACTAATATTAATCTTTTATGACAACTGCTGTAAGGGAATTGAAATTGAGTATGTGAACAGCTCTAGCCACCTAGTTACAAACTAGCTCCTAGCAGTTAGCGTTTTGGTAACAGCGTAGTCCCTAACCCTCCAATCATAACAAGAACATTGATTAAGTCCACATTACAAAATCTGACAGAGATTATACCTGTTAAATATTCCTATAGTATCTTTGGATACAGTTTAAGCAAGCAGAAAGTGGTGAACAGACGTGGGATGTTTTCAAAGGGATTTTAACATTGGTAGAGGTGGTAAAAATTATTATATAAGGTTCTGTTTTGCAAATAGGTCCACCGAATTAGAAGAGTAAGCAGAGGCTTATTTCTACTGTTGGCTCCATGTGTCTATATTTCTATCAGAAGGACACTAGGGCCAATAGGACACAGGAATCAACCACCCAAGTTGGACCAGTTTCAAGACTGAAGCTCTGGATACTTCTTTGCAGCTTTTTACAGGAGGAGGGGCGCTGTTGGTGCTTCACTTGTACTTACTGCAATAGCAAAAATAGAAGATTGCTGCAAGTCTTCTAACCAGTCTGTTGTTCTGTCAATTGATTTTGAAAGATGAGTATTAAAATTATTCGATATTCTATTCTATTTATTTTTCCACAAGGACTGGCAAAATTCCCCCTTTTAAATAAAAGATGTCCATTTGCTAGAACTGCATTACGCGTTCAGAAAACAGAAGCAGGCAGTATGTTTCACACCATGTCTTTGAAGACTAATATTAATCTTTTTATGACAACTGCTGTTAGAGAAATGCTGTTGCACTGAAGCAAGCATAGGAAGTCCCTGCAAGATGTAGGCTAAAGACACAGTGCAGATAAGCTCTAAAGTCACTCGTTGAACACATTGCACAATAAATGTTGTCATAAGGATTATGTGAATTCCTACAGTAGCCAAATTCCCTGCAATTATCGCATTATATCTCATTCTACAACTATAGTCACAGTGAGATTAAAAAGAAATATTCACTGTACTCTTCATAAAGCAAGTAAAGGGCTCCTAAGTACCTTGAAATTGGCCATTCCTAGCAGGATGTATTATCACTAAATCAGCTGTCCTCTTCTCTCCACTTTCGATTTTCTTAAGCAACCTCACTGCAGCTGGTGGCAGAAGCTATCTCCTGGCCCCTTCAAACGCCATGAGCCCCTGTTTTTTGCAACTCATGGAAAGAATAAAGCTAGCCAACAGGAGATACTGTTTTATTGCACATCTTCACCACTTTTTCTCCTTCTGTACTGGTCTTTGTAAACAGAGGACTGAGTATTAGCATGGGGGGAGCACCCACCAGCATGCAAAGGAACTCCCTCTCCACTCTCAAAAAGCACCTCTGACAAACGTGCCCAGCCTACAAGCCCATCTCTGGGCAGAAGTGGCACGCTCTGCACCAGGTAGTGGCCACCAGGACCATGTAGGCTGAGCTGACTAGCTTCCTCTCTGTGCTTGGACTGCTACCATCTCCACAGACAAATGAAGAAAAAGGCCCAAACCAAACATGTCAGAGAAGCAGGAATCAACCTGACAGCTGGCAGAGGTACATGAACCCTTCTTCAAACCATTACAGCTTTGAAACCACGGGCAAAGTTCAGGTGAGTGGAGAGATAAACAAACATACCACACAGGCAAGAACAGGGACTGCTTAACCAACAGCCTGTTCTTCTGTCAAACAGGTCCGGCTGACTACAACCATTTCTTCCCTACATGCTCTTCATATGCCCTTGTGCGTGTCCCGTGGCCACCGGGTCACCACAGCCAGCTGGTTGCAGCTGAGGAGTCTGCAGGCAGCTCCCGCTCTGCACCAGCCTCTGCGCCAGCTGCGCATCCTTGCCTATGTCTAACAGTGCAGCAAGAAGTTCCCATGTCAACAACCTTTAGGAGTAGAGTTGTTTTCTATATAATGGCTCAAAAGACCAGAAACAAGGAACCTCTCCACAGGTGGGATCTGCACAGCGTGCAGTGGGAAAATCTATCCAGTCTCCGTCCAGTGCTGAACGAATGCATAGCGCCCAGCATCAGAAGGTACATAATGTTTACTCACTATCTATGTTCCTCTTTTTATTCTGTCTTATTAAAATGACTATTTTATTAAGCCATTTTTTGTTGGACCTTTCGTGCTGAGATGTAGAAAGAGCCCTGCACCACCTCCCTCTGTCTGGCACTTCACCCCTCCCCGGGGCAGAATACTTAGTAATTACAGGATCATTGCATTCAGCGACAAGCTGCTGATACTGGAGAGTGTGATGGGAAAGAGGGATTTTGGTGGGTTGACCCCAGCCAGCAGCAAAGCCCCCACCCACTTGCTTGCTCGCTCCCCCCCAGCAGGATGGGGGAGAGAATCAGAAGGGTGAAACAGAAAAAAAAAACCTCAGGGGTTGAGATAAAGTCAGTTTAATTAAAGTGGAGAAAAAGAACAAAAATAAGTGATGCAAAGGCAATCACTCACCACCTCCCACCAGCAGACCAAAGCCCAGGCCCAGCCAGTCTCCAAGCAACAGCTGCTTCGGAAGAAACCTCCGCCCCCGGCCCCAGCCTGCTTTTATTGCTGTGTGTGATGCTACACGGTCCAGCACGTCCCTTTGGTCAGCTGGGGTCAGCTGCCCTGGCTGTTTCCCCTCTCATCCTCTTGCCCACCCCCGGCCTATCTGCTGGCAGGGCAGAGCAAGAAACAGAGGCGGCCTTGATGCTGTGCAAGCACTGTTCAGCGGTAGCTACAACGCTGGTTCGCTATCAATACTGTTTAGGTCACAAACCAAACACAGCACCATACGGGCTGCTACGGAGAAAGTTAACTCCACCCCAGCCAGATCCAGCACAGGAAGTGAAATGCAATTTGGGATATCCTTAAACTGGCTTTATCTCTGAAGAACAAATGAGGGTGCACGTGCAGGGTCTTAAGTCTCACCAGAACTATCCTTAGCTTTCTCCAACTCATTTTCTCTCTCTCTCGGTGAAGCTTTGGAGTGGCTTGGAAGCAGAGAGAGAAAAAAAAAAAAAAAAAAAAAAAAGATACAGAAAGTCTAGCTTCATCATGATTCAAAGTACCACCATGTGATCTGGAGTCAATAGCATTACAGCACCCAAATTGTTTTTTCTTTCTCTGTTCCAGGACAAGGACAAAGTTCTTCTGGTGGCACTTATGCACTGTAGCACACTCCTGGTTTGCTTTTGTTGAGATAAGCTCAGCATCTGTGGTACACATAAGAGCATCTTCTACACATAAGAGCAGAACAAAACAAATGTACACTGCCCTTACCAGGAGCAAAGAATACAGTAAGGGGGAAAAAACCCCAAACCCAACATTATTGCATGAGTAACAATTGAGTCCAAGTCAATAATCTAGATGAGACAGGCACAAACATGGCAGTCTGATTTTTCTGAAACCCCAAGGAGCTGCAGTTATAGGTCCTCTTTGAATAATTCAACATTAATCCCAGAGAGAAGCTGAACATCCTCCCGCATCCTCTGAGCCCTCCAGCCAGCACCAAAAGCACAGGCAGCCTTAAGGTGGCCGCCTCCTGACCCCAGTGTGATTTGAACACACAACCTTCTGATCTGGAGTCAGACGCGCTGCCATTGCGCCATGAGGCCATGACAATGTCCATTATCCCCTGGCTGTGGACACCCAAGTCTCCAGCACTCTTCTGTCCAGGTGACATTTCTATCAGCCTATGCTGGCAGTGTCCCTCAGCACCCTCTGGTCCTTCGATGTCCTTGTCATTTCAGACGCCTTTTGCCAGGCACGCTTGGAATACGCACCCACAAGACTCCTGCTGGCAAAAGCCACGTGGAGCACTAAACAGAGTAAGGGTGGGAGGGCCTCCTACAGCAGCCAAGCTGCATAAGATGCCTGTCATACTCTTAGCACCCCCCTCTGCCACAAATGTCTCACAGAAGAAAGCAAGTGAAGCAGACGGGCCACTGTCAGTACAGGTTTTAGTCTTAAAAGCACGTTTGCAAAGGATCTTTGTTTCAGACAAGGAAGCGCAAGCTTTTTCTCTCAACAAAAATAGCCAAAGAATCAGATTTCCACACCCTTGGGTTTTTATATTACTGCCATTGCTCACTGATTCAAACCTTGCACTGTTAGAGCACATATCGTTTATCCTACACCTGATGTTCCCCAGTGTTATTCCCCATGTTTGCTTAAATCCACCCCATGTTTTCCACAACCATAGTAAGTGCTTTCCACTAATTCAAGGTGAATTTAAACTGCCTATACAGAAAAACACTCCAGTTGTCTTCTCTGGGATAAATTATCCTTGAAGCTACAAGGAAGGTATCTAAGCATGAACATAGCTGCAGTTTGCTCACAGGAAACTTTAGCTACAGTTCTTTACAGCTTCTGGAAAAGCAAGTAGCATGTCCTCAAATGAACCATTCTGTCTTTCATCCAACTTCCAGCCTCTCCAGCACAGGCTCTTTTATCAAATTTTGTAGAAAAATACTGTTTCCAGCACACTCCCACACACAGGGCACGTTTAATCTCTGTGTACAAAACACACGTTCTGGTCTGGACCATGAGGTACGTTGAAGAGAGCCACAGAAGGCTGTGGGATCTGAACATGCAGGGTCAGATCACCATCCTTGTGCCACAGAGGTTGCCTCCTCTTACTCTCACAGTGGAGGCTGGCAGAGCCTTATCTGTTACACACCGCATTTTCTTCAAGAAAGCTCCACCATGTACATTTGACACCCAGAGTAAGAAGTAAGACTGCAGGGTGATTTGAACACAGCCTCCAGATCCAGTGTTAGGCATGCCACCAGTGGGCCACAAGACTGGAGAAACAGACCCTGCGCCCTTTTGCACTCAGGAGAAACACCTCCAACTCTCTCCTATAGCCTTTCAGGAAAGGAAGCGCTCAATGAATGCTCCTCCACCCTCACTGTCCAAAGAGATTAGGAACAAGGCTGGAGCAGAAAGCAGCACGTGGAGTAGCATTTCTTACCAGCCATGCCTGGGAAACATAGATAGGGAATTCTGGATCGCCACATAATAATTTGGTCGAGAGCAGCTAGATGGGTGATTTCACAGAGCGACGAATTACACACAGCTCTTCAGAGAGCCAAAGGATGCCACCCTGCCAGCCTCTGTAGTCGAAGTATCTGCAGCGGACTTTCTGCTGCTCCTACATCTATCCCCAGTGAAGAATACTTACAGGGAAATCTGTACCCTTTTTTCTGTTACAGCTACGTCGCAATACATGGTGCCCATAGTACACACAAGGAACTGCGTGTATAAGGATATAGAGAATATCCTTAACCCTGTTGGTTTTCTTTCTGGAGAAACTTGCAGAAAGGGACTGACTGAACAAGTTTCACAATAAGGGGATTTGTGAGCAGCAGTCCCAAAAAGCAACACTTTCACTGAAGGCAGAGCACCTCCATCAGGGATCAAGTTTCCCCACCACTGGAATTACACTTTTCTCTTTTCTCTTCAAAGATACAGAGCCTGAAATTTGAACCATGCACAAACACCGAAGCTTTCAATACTCACCTCCAACGACTTGTCTTTCAAAGCAGCACTACAGTTGTCAGACACCACTGCCCAGAATGCCTTTGCCCCATGCCTGAAGCATTTGCATTTCACTCACCACATCTTTCCATGCTTTTAAATAACAGTAGCTTGTTACTTCTATTGATGTTACCAGATGAAAGAAAAGTGATGTCTTCACCAGTAAGTATTCCAGTGGAACAAGCTTTCTGTTAACTACACTATGCTGAGTCAAAAGAAACAGGTAAATGTTAATAGTTTGCTTGCAAGAAACATCAGCACCTTTTAGGATTTCAGCATATAAAAGCTGATGACCTAGCAAAGCCAGAAGCTTTTTCTGCTCATTGTGTCCCTCTGAACAATTGTAAAGTGAAGCTGCAAAGTGAAGCAAGAGGAGCTTCCTAAGATAGAGGGAAACACCAAGTGCAGCATGACTCAAAGACCCAACCCCACAATTTGGTAGCAAATCACCACTGTGACTGTGGTGCAAGAACTATCTTGTATCTAGCTCTTTTCTCTTCAGAGAAAACTTTTACAATTGACCATGCCTCTGCCAGGAAGAAAAAAAAAAAAAAAGGCAAAACCCAAAAATTTGCAGTGTGATTTGCATCTTGCATTCTGATCTACAGCCAGAGAAGCTGCCATGGTGGCGCAAGAATATTCACCTGCTTGTCTCCTTCCAGGAGTAAATCTCCTGTTTTCTTTCTTACCACACATGTAATATTAGGCTTTTTTTCGAGACGCCCTCTCTCTGTCCTCACCTCCATTCCAAAGCGGCCCTGAGCCAGACATGCTTAGAGTACGTGACCGGAGGATTCCTGACCCCTGGTATATAAAATCTCATTTGTCAGCAAAGAGGAGAAGGAAGGGACTGTGTGTAACATCCAAACAACAAGAGTACAGCATAGCATCGTGTAGTAGTGGCATTGAACTTGCAGCTTAGGATGATAATTATTTCCTATCCTGCTACCCTGATTTCTCCTTCCAGCATTGGAGGGACTGGAATTTCCCTAGGAAAAAGCAAGAGAAACACGCTTTGGATGCCATTTGAGCATAAAAGCACAATGTGAAGGATTCACAGCACAGGCTTGCAATTCTGAAATAGGATGGAAACAGATGGATCCCTAGTGTCTAGGTCACCCTATTTTTTATTTTTACTTCATATCCTTCATACCAAGAGGACATAGTTAAACAGAAAGTGACTAAAGTCTAAGCTTCTTACTGAAAGAAAGTAGCATAGAGCATATTTTGGCATGGAAAATGAATTTATATTGTAAAATCTTCTCTTTTGTTCCTCTCTCTAACCCCTTCAAGACCTGGTTTTGTATTCATTGTCACCATGAACTTCTTGGCACCCTTTTAGTAAATGAAGTACTCTTTACTTACAGCAGTGAATACTCTTATGAGCACCAGTAGCACTGGTTGTTTACTGGTTCTCAGCTAAACCTCTGCTTTTGAAACCAGCAACACAAGAAAACAAAGCCAAAAAATATTTTTGCTTAGCTTCCCTTAGCCCATGGATGCACACCTATCATGGATGTCATGGTTTAAGCCAAATCAGCTACTGGGGACCTGGGCAACCCCAGATGGGACCAACAGATGCTCCCCTCCACCCCTCTTCAAAGAGAGAGGCAGAGGAGGGGAAGAGACTTATGAGTTTAGAAGGAACTAAACTACTTTAATGAAATATTAATAATAAAATAAAAAAGAAATAATGAGATATATACAAAACCGTATCAGCCTCCCAGGATGACAGTCACGACACCGGCTGGCACTGGGGCAGTCCCAGACTGGACTCAGTGATGGATGGGAACTGGATTCCGGATCTGCATTCAGGATCGTGATCACAGGCAGATGAACAGACAGAGTCCTCTTCAGACACAGGCCTTTGAAGAAAGAGGAAGAGCTGACCCTCTGATCCCTCAGCTTTTCTACTGGGCATGAGGCAGATGCGATGGAATACCCTGTTGGTCAGTTTTGGGTCACCTCTCCTGTCTGCTCCTCCCCGCAGGTGGGACCCCAGTATGCTTTTCCGCTTCCGATGCTCCAACGGGGCAAATAACAAAGTTGGTTGGCCTTGAGTGTTACAGCAATAAATCTAAGCAAGAGCCTCTCTGCATACCATGGCTGGGCATCAACTAAAAACATTGGTCTTATCACTCTGAGAGAGTGAACACTGTCTGCACAATATGCTGTTAATTTCAGTAGTTAGAAGAGGCTTAGCTAAGAAGCAAAGTTACTGAACAAAATTGGTCCTGTTTTACCTCAAACCAGGACAATGGATTACTGATTTTAAAATATGGCTCATCTTACATTCCCAGATTTCAGACCGTGGAAATGTATGTAACAGCTCAACTCTGAAAAACTGCCCTCTGAGGAGGGAGAGAATAGAAGACAGCAGGGCAAAGCTGAGAGCACCAGTTCTAGTTTAAATAAATGTATTGTTTATCAAAGGTGGTTTTTTTTTGTTTTGTGGTTTTTCTCTTCTATTCTTAGGTTTTCCGAACTTTGGAACTTTTCCACAACCATTTTTGGCTTTACAGACACTTCCATTTTTACTCCATAAACCCAGCTATGGACTATTGGCCTAATTCAGTTCAAGATTTGAACTAGGAGGGCCATTCAAATTAGCTGTGGAGGCCACAAAGTAAAAGAACCAGACTTTTGGAGGGGGAAATGCATGGTGAAATATTTCCTTCCTTCTCCACGCTTTTAATTGCCCTTCCTCCATTGCTGTGCTGGCTGGATACCATGGGGTTTTTTGCCCTGACCCCAGTGACCTGCCTCGCAAACAGAGGAGCTATTTACAAAAGCCTTTACGGAGTCATGCTTGTTTTCAGTTGAACTCTAACCTAGCCATTGCTAAAATGCAGCACCACAAAGATTTAGTCCAATTCTTGCGAACTCATTGGCTGTATAATGTTTGCTCCTCCGCATTTCCAGCTATTTATTTACCCCTGCAAGCTCTTCACTGCAAATAGGACGCTATGACTTTGTTCAAGATATCGGGACACAAGCAGACAGAGCCACTTCGACTGCCTCCAGGGGAAAATACTGCTGCCTAAGAGGGAAGCTTATATAGCTGTTTTGGCAGGAGGGAAAACCAGGATGACTATGGCTGTTATCAGGAGTACAAATGCAAAAGTAGTACAGCTCTACTATCTAGCCCTAAGGGAAAGGAGATTGATTAGCCACAAATAAACAGGTAAAAAGTAACAATTGTTTCTTATTATTTATGCAACAGAACAACAAAGCTATGTGGTTGCAGCTAGTGGCTACGTACAAATGCAAAGCATATCTATATGCATATTGTTCAAATTGTTTTATCTGGAAGCTTTCTAGAGCATTAACTGCAAAACTTGCTTGATTTTTCTCCCTACAATGAGAAAGACGAAGAGGACAATCTGCAAGAGTTGGAAGGTACGGATGTACAGAGGAGAAGCCATGATTACGGGAAGCAGGCAGCAATGTGGAGGTTTGCTTTGATGCCAGAATCTCACCACAGAGATTAACACGTCTTCCCAAATGAATCGGGGAAGGTCAAGAAGAAAAACAATTAAGTTTATTAAGAAAGATTCTAAGTGGTAGGCTTACAAGATATAATCTTTCCAGCATTTAAGGTCACTACTAACTCAGGAGAGAAACTTGGTGGGTGAAGGCACTGTTAGGTGTTTGGCATATCTATAAAGTAATAGACTGAGGAAAACTATTGCCCAACAGTGATATTCTCCTAACCATATAGGCACAGTAAATTGAAAACCTCTTCATTTACATCAGGCAACAGTTACAGCACCCAGGACATCTGTGCACAAAAGACACCTCCTCTGTACCAGGAGTTTTCTATGCTACAAAGCTGAAAACCGCAGGGATGACCTACATGCTACACTGACTGTGAGAGGCACCACCCAATTCTAGCTGATGCCTTTGGTCTTGTTTCTTTAGACATTCTGATGAAAGAACTTCAACAAGCATGGTATTTTTACCACTCCATATTACAAAACTACTTACATAGCAAAAAGGAAACAAACCTTAAAAAAACCCCAAAACAACAACAACAAAAAAAACCCACCCAAAACCAAACTTGGGCCTTGTTGGTAGACAAGCATTTTTCTTCATTTAACGTGTCACTTCTGTCCTGTGAAATCATAAGGCCTCTCTGAAGATCAAACCTCAGCATCCTTAGGTGGTTATTGCCCTGCAGAATTACGATTTCTTTGGAAAATAAAGGAATACCGCCGCCGGAT